GTCATTAATTGCAATAGTTTTGATGGAACTGAATGAGGGAATAGGTGTGAGAACCAGTTTTTCTCTTTTTCTTTTTCTTGATCTCTTTCTCTTTTTCTTTCTTTCTTTTTTTTTTTCTCTTCTTTCATCTTTTCTTCTGTCGTGGGCTAGTTTGTACTTTGCAATGTAGACTTGCAGCGGGCCAGTATTTCTCTTTGATGGCACATGCCTGTTTAAAGTAAGGGTTATGCCTTCCCTTTCGCAGAACCATGTTTCTCTCCAGACTCTTCTTGTGGTGGTCATGTGATTTTTATTTTACATTTCCTTGCATTTTTATATATGTTATTCTCAGAAAATGAGAGAAGGCAGATGCATTAGGAACTACTAATCTGACCTATTTTATTTTTTATTTATTTTTAATTTTTTATGTCTTTATTTTGAGAGAGAGAGACAGAGAGAGAGTGGCAGAAGGGCAGAGAGAGAGGGAGACACAGAATCTGAAGCTGAGCTGTCAGCACAGAGCCGGATGTGGGGCTCGAACCCACAGACTGTGAGATCATGGCCCAAGCCGAAGTTGGATGCTTAGCCGACTGAGCCACTCAAGCGCCCCATAATCTGGCCTATTTTCATAAAGTAACACCCCCCAAAAAAACACAAAAAAACAGAAGTTCATATATTTTCTTTGAGAGAGAATATGTATGTATCCACGTCCAGGAAAAAAAAGAGATTTCCAGTGCTATTTATTTTGTAAACTTCTTTAACGCTTGGTGTATGTGATGCCTTAGACTCTTGTCACACGTTTTTGTGGACAAGGTACTCTAATCAATTCTTAGATCAAAATTCATTCCTAAACTTGTTTTTAACATTATTGAAATCACCATTCATTAGGATGCCCACATGTGGCAGTTTGGGCCATTCTCCGTTTATGGCATTCCATTTGTTACAGCTTAATTATTTCTAGATTTCCATTTTACTGTGTAAGAATTGTCCCAGTTTGGGAAATAAATCATTTGAAGAGCCTCCTTTAATCTTCTCAGAGTCCCTGGAGGGTAGGTATCTTTATTGTTATTTTACATAGAAAATATTGAGGCTCAGAAAGGTTGAATCACTTTCCAAATGTCAAACAGCTGGTAAGCAGGGGAGGCAGAATTCAAACCATCTGAGAACAGAGTGACTCCAAAACTTTTCATTACCTTCTTTACTGTCTTCTTGCTGCCCTAAATTTCCTCATTTTTCATCAGCCACCTATAGCTGTGTCTGAAATGAAATGTTTTCTGGACTCTTCACTGTCTTGCTCATACCCCTCAAGGCACATCTGTGCCAATATCTCTTTATTTTCCAATATTCCCCTTGAAAGTGATGTTACCTAAGAGAATCCAGGTAGCATCTACACACTGACAGATAACGTGTTGGCCATTAAATGCTTATTTCTCAGACCTGTGTCTCTATTTATAATGGTTACTCGGTTTGTGTAGAATAGACATCCGGCAACGGGGTTCGGTAATTGAACTGTACACAGAGTCGCCAGTCAGCCTGTAGACTGTCAATGTCTCTTCTGAGTAATCAGTCATTCCTTCTGATACCTTGGAGCCCGAACTGCATTAATGGTTAAATACTTTGAATATCATCTTTGACTACATCCGAACTATCAGGTCACTTTTGCTGGGAGTTGTAGTCAGATAGGTTCAGTGCTGTTTGATTAAGTTCCATTGCAATACCCTTGGAAACAGCACAGCATGTTTGAAAGAGAGCTGAACTTATAAATAAATAGATGATCAGTGTTCTAAGATCAGATGTAAAACCTTCTAACTCTACAATCTTGTATATATGACTTAATCTTGCTGATGCTCCATTTTCTCTGGTATAAAAGAAGATAAGATACTGCTGTTTCCTTCTATTCCACAGAATTATTATGAAATACATATGAAATGATGCACATGAACTGTAATTGGGTTTGTGTGCCTCACTTACCTCCTCTGTCAAACTGGAAGAGCAAGAGTGTACCTATTCCATAACTTACTGTTTTGATGTGGTGGTTATTGCTATTACATGTGTATGAGAATAACTAAAATAATGTGATTAACTAAACTAGATATCTAAGCTAGTTACCCTTGAAATAATCAATTAGATGTTTCTCTTTCTGTTAGTAATACTAATTGATTCTTCTGTTAGATGCTTAGAATTAAGATTGTGATTATGACATTTAGAAGGCCATTGATAATTTTTTCATCACTTACAAAGACAATGTGGTGTTCTGATTCTACCATTTATATAATTTCATGTAGAGAAAAGCAGAACCTCACTGCAGTAAAAATAGAAACTCCTCTGATAGGAAGGGGTAACTCTAACACTATTTTACTTGGAGAATACCAGTTTGTTTTTCTGTTGTCTTGGAGTACACGTAGTTTTTTTTTTGTTTGTTTGTTTTCCTCTCTCTGGCCCCACTTTCACTGATGTAGTTAAAATGTGGAACACCCCAGATTCTCCTATAGATCTTGGTAGTTGTGAATGTTATATATTTATTTAGAATGTGCTTATTTTTTTCTTTTAAAGTGCTCAGAGTCCTTGGCAAATGGCATTTACGTTTTAATGGAGAATCAATTTAAAGTATTGAAAACCTGTGCCAATAAGCTGCCTTCTAAGAACAGAGCATTTAGAAGACAAAAACTGAAAGTTGAGCAAATGGGAATTTTGGAACTTCTTCTAGCTTTTTACACTTAACAAAATGCTGTGACTCCTTTATTTTCATGGACTTTTCAGTTCTACTAGAAAGTTAGGACCTTCTGGGGTTGTGCAAATACTTGTGTCAACAAATTGATAATGCCTTTGTGAAAATGATTTTCAAGGTAACCCAGAAGTTTCACCTGCTAATTGGTATGGGATCCTGGGAGCATATAATCCCCAAATACCACAATCTGTGTGCTTTGAAATTTTCAAGTAGAATCCAAGATATTAAAATGTGTCTATCACTTTTAGACTTTCCCTACTGATGATATGAACCTGAATTTTCATTTGCTGCCCTTGATAGGATAACATAAAAGGTATATTTTCCAAATAGAGCTATTAATACTTAAAACAAAACCCAAGACCGTCATTTTATAGCATTTTATTTCATTTATTTTGCTAAATTTTAATTAGTATTTTGTATATTAGGGTTCCCCCCCCCCGATTGGATATATCCTATTGTCTATAGGCTTTTTTTTTTTTTTAGCATTTTGTCCTCTTGACCTTGAATCCAGTAATCCTATTTCATGAAACTCTTTTTAAAATCAATTTTAAGAGCCCTCCATTCAATTGTAGTTATTACTTTAAACTGGAGAATAACTTTTAAATATTTAAAAATGTATGGATTGGGGTGCCTAGGTGGCTCAGTCGGTTAAGTGTCCGACTTTGGCTCAGGTCATGATCTTGTGGTTTTTGGGTTCGGGCCCCGCATCGGGCTCTGTGCTGATAGCTCAGAGCCTGGAGCCTGTTTCAGATTCTGTGTCTCCCTCTCTCTCCGACCCTCCCCTGCTCACACTCTGTCTCTCTGTCTCTCGAAAATGAATAAACATTAAAAAATTTTTTAAAAATGTATGGATTATTGTATGAGCACTCTCATCATTTGATGTGCTTGGGAAATAGTCTAATCTAGAAATAAGATGATTACTTCTTTCACTGAACGTATTTCTGATGTTGCCCTACTATCTATCTATCTATATTTAGTCGACATATCTTTCTGTCTTTGTTTGCTTTCAAAGGCAAGCACTCGATCTGCGCTGTATAATTACAGTTGGCACTTGACACATTGTGGCTTTTTAAATTTAATTCTATTAGATTAAAAATTAGTTTCCTCAGTCACACTTGCCACCTTTCAAGTGCTCACTACCCGCATGGGGCTAGTGGCTACTGTACTGGACAGCACAGATGTATAATATTTTTGTCCTTGAAGAAAATCCTATTGAACAAAGCTCTGCAAAGTGTGCACGTATTGATTATATCCCTCCCACCTGTGCTCTAGTGTCACACCTTGGAATATTTGTTTAAATGCCTGGAGATCTAAATAAAAATTTGAAAAATAATCTGATGTGAAATAACCTATCACAAACTCAAGTGAAATCTTTGTATGATACTATTACTTCGTCACAGGAGTGCTGCTCTAACTATGTTAAATGCCTTAAAGCTTGAGTTTTTCTGTGAATAGTTATGTTTTGGTACATAAAGCATACTGTTACAGCCTCGTTTTTAATGACTATGGTCATACAGTTCTAATAATGTGTCATATTTTACAATATGGTATCTTATGTGATCTTTAAAAATATCTCTGTAGAAACATTATTAGCTAAATTCAAGGGTATCAAGTGCTAGATTTTGTTAATTTAAATAATTGTGTTTTTGTTGTTCAGAGGTTAACTCTCAGGAGAAATGAACCAAGGGATTTAGAAAGCATTTTGAAACTGAATCTATTTTTCCTTGAAATGGGAGTACTTTGAATGTTTCAGAGAAAAAAATTAACCAGCAGTCTTGTGATTTGATAAATATGAGTGTTTTGTGGGGTTTTTTTTGCTAAAATAGTCATCCTAGTATGATTTTCCATTTTTATATACTCGCAAGATATTTTTCTTTGATTTTTAATGCAGAATACATAAGTTAGTAGGAGTACCTTCAGTGATGTGTGTTTAAAAGACAAACTCCATTTTTAATTATCTGTCACTTTATCCTTTCGTTGTTTCTTACAATTTGCTTTTGTTCTTTTTCTTTTGCATTTTTATATTACATTGCATCAGAAACTGTTATGTAAAACAAAAAGTTCAGAGTAGAAATCTTATTAAAAGTAGTAGCAGTTCAATATGAAAACGCCTTGTGCTTTGTCATTTTGATGCTTCTGGTGCCAAGAAACTTGAGAAAGAAGTCTTTAGATTCACACGATAAGCTGACAGAGTGAATTATCTTAAGGCTTGAAAGGGCAGGTAGAAGTTATAATTACTGTGTAGCTTCACAATCCTTGTATTGAAATACTCACCTTTGCTATCATGCTGCAGGCCATAGAGCGAGAAAAAGCGGAGAAGTTCAGAAAACTGCAAGATGCCAGCAGATCAGCTCAGGCCCTGGTGGAACAGATGGTGAATGGTAATTACACGGACTTGATTTAGATAATCTTCTTAGGGATTTGATAAACACATAGGTTCATATTTATCAGCTGAATTATATCAGACAAGCACTTCCTGAATACAAATTTAAATTGAAGTGAGTTTATGAGCTTTTTATTATTCTTTCTTAATGCTAAGGAAATTATTAGAGGAAATTCATCTTTGAGTCCACAGGAAGAAAATGGGATGTGCTAGAATATTTTATCCATCTATTGCAGAGAAATCAATTTTAATGCAAATCCTGCTAGTCTTTGTCCAAATAATTTAAGAAAACAAGGTTTTCAGAAATCATTGGGAAATGTAAGCAATCATGTACTATGTGGAAACTGATTGTCATCTGATTTTAAGTAATTCTTGCAATATATTTTTCTGAACAGACGAAAATTATGTGTAAGGTTTCATCAACATACCTGTTTGCTAATAATATATTTGTCTTTTTTTCTGTTACTTTTTGTTTCTATAGTCCTTTTACAAATGTCTCCTCAAGGGAAAGTTTATTTATTTATTTTTTTAACTTCAGCTGTTTTTGAGTGTGGTCAAAGGGAAAAGCTAACCATTTTTTTAAAAGAATGAATTAAAATTAACTTTTCAAAAGAAAATATGTTATTGATCTCACTTTGTGAACAAACTTCTTTGAAATTGCCATTGTTCTACTACTTTATTCACTTACAGATAGAAGTAATTTATGAGACTCAGGGATGTTTTCAGACAAGATTTTTTTTTACGTATTTCACAGATGTTTATAAGAATATAATAACCAAATGTAACAAATGTATTTGTTGGGCATGTCAGCTTTTTTGAGAACCTGCCTGCATTCTGGAGCATAAATTTTGTGTGTGAATTATTATTATTTTTTTTGCCTTAATTGCCATGTTGGCATTAAAAAGTTCAGTGATCTTCCTAGGAAATCAATTCATTTTTTTCTCTTAATGAGCCCCATGACTGTATTTGGTTAACAATAAAAACAAGCAAACATGACAGCTGAAGATTGGGTTAACAAGTTAATGACTACATCGACAATGTAAAATACTGAAAGGTTATTGTTTAGATGTATGTTGCCGGGTGGTTTAACTGATGAGTTTGGTAACAGCATATTCATATTAAATGAAATTGTATGATCTAAAAAATTGTCTTGTAGCGGCTATGCAATTTCCCGCAAGAACTATATTATCACTTTTTTATTTTTATAAGCCAATGTAAAATCTTTACTTTCAAAAGGCCTCATTTTATAATCACATATCAAGCATACCTTGCCTCAAATCATTATTCAAAGCAGTTAAAATGATGAAGTGAAGGGAATGATTTTTTTGGTAGTTAAAACCACAGAGAGGATTAAAATTAAAATGATTATATGATTAGTGATCGTGTCATTTTCTAAATTATTGCCCTCATAGCTCTAATTTTTGGAGACCTCAAAAAAATCAAGACATACACTAGGTCCTTAATAAATATAAACTGGTGAAATTCTTAGCAAAGCAAATTTAAGGCAGTAATGGAGTTAATTTTGGTCAGAGAATAATAATACTTCTAAGGAGAGTGCTACTTGTGTGAAGAGCAAAGAGCTCTAAGAGGTAGGGTGTGACGTGTGCCATTCCTTACTGGTTGACTATATTGATCCAGTTTTAAGCTTCTCACCTGTGAGGCCAATAAAGATAAGGTCTAGCTGTTAAATGATCAGACTCCAATTTGTGCTTTAACTAGAGGATAGCTGTGATGCTCCTTTCAATCAGACAATTTATATGGTTACTAAAAAGTAGACTCAGAGATTGTAACTTCTCTTTTTGTTCTTTTTGGTCTTACACAGAAATAATTTCATAATACTCATTTTGTGTGATTGTGCAATTTGTGAGTTAAGACAGACACACAGATATGTGCCTGGAGCCTCTTCAGGTGTTATTTCGTTGGGACCCCTAACCCTAATTTACGATGGCTCCAGGGACATTGAACCAAAAACCAGAATTAACTGATGTAGCTCACAGAGCTGACAGACAGACTGAGGTTGCGCTAACCCAGCTTTCCAAAGCATGATCTCAGTTAAGGTCCTAAGTTTACATGCACAGGATTTCCTTTATCACATTTAAGCTGTGGAGTTAAAATAAAACTCGTAACCATATAAAGCACATACATTCTTACTGTTTTATTTATGGAAAGGAGAAAAACAACTGAATGATGGTACTTCATTTATGCCCTCACATCAGTGTCTTTTAACCATGTACCTTGTCCTCAAAAATTAAGAAAAGGACAAGTCATTCTTGCATAAGGTTAAAATATTGCACAACTAATACAAATATTTCTACAGTTTGTTTTATCGTGCTCACAACATTTAACATATATTCATATGTATAAAATATATATAAAGAATGGCATTAATATTTTTAAAAACATTTTATAAATGTGACATTTTCTATGTTTGTATGCATACTCACAAAACTGATTTTTTTTCCTTCAGATAATTTACCCTAAGATTAGAGTGCTTTTTTTTTTTTTTTTTTTAAGTTTGGGAATGATTTCAGAACTCCTCTTTTAAATTTTCCTTCATAATGAAAAAAGACATGGAAAAAAACATCACCCCTCAATACTTACATTTCACATCAGTTTTGAAACAAAATGACACATTAGACATATTTCCCAATCATTTTTTGGCCATTTCTAAATAGCTACTGAGGAAAAGAATTTTTAGCATCACCTAAGAAATACAGAAAACAAAACCCATTAGTCTTGAGGGCAGACTCTCAACGGAAACTCGGAAAAAGGGGCAGTGTCTTAAAATTGTTGAAAGTGTAAGATTATCATGATGCCAGTATAGAAGTGGCTTTGATTTGATGTCACAGAATTTTGTTCAAAATTAGTTTTAGGACAAACTGTCTTCAGGACAAATGGTGTCCTGAAAACCCCATATCTTGTAACATGTGTTTAGTTTCACAGGGTCAAGTAGAATTTAGGATCAACTTAAGATAATTTTTATTTTGACTACACTTTATCAAATGCAAAGGCTTATTTGCAGAATAGTAAAGTACACTTAAATATAGTGCGAATTTTAATGTTAATTATATTGTGAATTTTACACTAGAATGATGTGTATTTGGGAAGTATGTACAGATTCAGTCGGAGACTCTTATTAATTTATTTGGAACCTATTTTTATGACCAAAAAAGGGAGGTTGAATAAATTATTTGTATACTTTAAGGCTTGGAGGAACTTTTTCCTTATGGATGCCCCCCTTCTTTTGGAAGAGTGTAAGTGATGTTCATGATCCTAATAGGCTAAAAAAGAGAGGCTGCAGTACTGTTAACAGAGAGAGTGTTAGCTTAAAACGCATGTTTCCAAGGTTTTGACATGGATTTTGGTATAATTAACTGATTTATCTATTCCTTAACTGTATTCTTTCTGAACTAACATTAAATTTGTGATTCTTGTCAACATCATTTGATTGAATAAGTATGGGAATAATTTAAGAGGGTATTGGATGGCAGAGAGAAATTCTTATTAGAAAAGTTTTCACACATGTAATTTTTATGAAGCCTGTTGTCGCTATGGAAGATGGGGTTAATAACTTCAGTCCCAAGAAATTGTTGGCTTTCTAGAATTTTAATGAGAGTAACTGGGAGACGAGACTGGTTACCTAGTGATCTAATTATGTTTCCTTTAGCTGTGTTAAACAGAGAAGGAGGATTTCCAAATTTGTACTTACTTCTTTTTTTCTTTTACGGACACAGTGTAACCTTTTTTAAGGTTTGTTTATAATTTTTGATGTTAATACAAAAATGGTATAAATGATTAAAATTTTAGAAAATTTAACAACTAAATAGGGTAAAGAATCTTACTACTCTATCATTACTCTTGATTTATAATTAAGGAATCCTGATTTCCTAAGATTTTATGTCATTTTTTTAACTGATCTGCTTACCTCAAAGCAAAAGCTTTGTAGTGTATGAGGAAGATGATGGGATTTCAGGATAATCTAGAATATTTGTATATCTAAACATTGTTTCTACCCATTTAGATTAGACTATTCTTAATTTTGTTTGTAAAATAATGTTCTTGCATCCATATTCTCCTTAACAGCCAAGTATAAAACGGACGCCTGGTTTAGATAGTTTTCCTTTATTATTACTAAAACTACCAAGAAATTAGTTATATCAAACCACTTATTTGAAAACACACATAAACATAGCTCAGTTTCCCTGCCTTTATATTTCTCCTATAAAATTGTTTCACTACAATTTGTAGAGGAGATACTATAATGTAATTATCTAATAGGGTTAGTGATGTTTTCTACCTTAAACTGTGCTTCACTTTAAATTTCTAATTGCAGTTTTTTGTATGTTAATTAAGAGTCTGAAGACAATCACATTAAGGAAATGTTTAAATAAAAGTAGTAATTATTAGTATATTAGACTAGAAGAATATCTCAAAACCATCATCCCTTGAGTGTTAGATTATAGTGTTTAAGATGATACCTAATAGTAAGTCGGCTAAGGATTGTAATTAAATAGTACAGACTGATAACAGAGACAAGAACTCCTCGTATCTTATTATTACATACATAACTGTACTTTTAGTTTTTTTGGTTTGTAGCTCATAAGTACTTCACATGAATGACGTCATTTAAGTCTGGGCGACACAATTTTGTCAGATTGGTAAGGACAGAGATTATAGTTAGTCTGGATCACCTCAAAGCCAGACCTCTCATTAGCTTCTCTTCACATCATTGTGAAACATTTTCAGTGACAGTAACTCTTCTAATTAGATCTTTTAATAGGAAGACATTTCACCAGTGGTCTGCATAACAGTGGGGCATGGAAACAGTACTGTCTGCAGTAGTCCAGCCCCTCCATCATAAATGAGTAGCTTTCCATAGTTGCACCACTTTTCTCCTCTCTTACTCTCCTTACTCTTTCTCCTCTCTTACTCTCCTTACTCTCTCCTTGGTTCTGGGTAGTTTGATTTATGTCTCCTGTTTTTCCATGTGATGCTTGG